AGGGAGGTCAAACATTATGTAAATCAAACAGAAGAGAAGGGCCGGCCCGGTGGCGCACTGGTGAGTGCGCCGCTTGGGAACGCAGCGGCGCTCCCGCCCAGGGTTCGGATCCCATGTGGAGACCGGTTCCCGCTCACTGGCTGAGCGTGGTGCGGGCACGACACTGAGGGTTGTGATCCCATTGCCAGTCAGTAAAAAAAACAAAAAGAAAAAAAACAAAAAAAAAAAACAGAAGAGAAGCTTCTCTGACTGCAATGGGGTGGGGCTGCCAGCAGCTCCACTCACAGGCATTCCTTTCCCCACCGCTGCACCTCATTAGATCCCTGGGCTCTAAGAAGAACATCAAGGCTCTAAGACCATTACAAGAAAGTATATTTTGCAGAACCAAATAGGCTCTCAGTATTCAGTTGTGACAATTCTCCAGTGTATTGTTTTGGACTTATGCTTTAACCTGGTGATAAGATTTCAGCATCTCACACATCATGACATGGCAGGGCAGAAAGAAACCCCTGTGCTGAGAAGCAGATGACCTGGACTTCAGCCCCAGCTCTGCCATTAACTGCCTGTTCAAGCTGGGGCAAGTCAGTTTCCTCTGATACAAAATAAGGGGTTTGGATTAAATGACCCATGAAGTCTCTGCCTATTTTAAAACACTATAATTAAATCAACATTTGAACATGTGTACCTGTCATTTACAAAGGTCCATGCCATTTGAACCAACTTTTGAATTTTGTTTTTATCACCTAGAAATGGGGAGAAAAGGTAAATTAATAGTAATAGGAGGAAAAAAAAATTCACAAGAAGCAACAAGCATTTATTTAAAACCTACTGTGTGCTCGGCACCATTCCAGTACACAGTAAAGAGCTTTCATCTGGGAAACGAGGACAAACGACATGGGTCTACGTCCTACCTCTGTTCTTTTTCCACATGACCTACACTGAACCACCATTTATAGGAAACCTGGCTCGAAGGCTAATTTTATTATTCTATTTAAAAAAATTCTGACTCATTTTGCTGCCTCATATCACTTGGCAACTGGATGACAGAACCTGTTTATGCATAAAAAGAAACAGCATTAATGGCTATGATACTGAATTGTGTAAGCAAGCTATGTTCTGGTACTTCACACACCAAACTTTCTGTTTTCCTGTTCTGAGAAGCCTAATCTGAGTATTATCAAATACTCAGACTTGATTTCAGGATGAAAAAGTTCTTTTAAAACTTTTTTTTCTTACCTTTGAGTTGTTTTGCATATTTGAGTAGAAATTGATATGGATGTTCCACCTGTAAATCAAATTTTATGGTCTGTAGTAAGATTCTCTCCAGAACCATTACTTCTTCCTAAAAACAAAATAACAAATATTGGGATAGTAATTACAATCATGGTTCTCAAACAACGTTAAAAATGTGAGCTTTCCTATCTATTAATTTTCTTTTCAAGCCATACTTATGCAACTGTTTTTCGTTCCTTTTCTCCTCTCTCCCACTCGGCCTTTTAACATGCTCAGAGACAAGGATAAGTTCTATAAAGAACTCAAAGTAGGAAGATGAAACAATCAGATGGTTAATTAAAAAAATGCTGAAAACAAAATAAATATCCTTATTAGAAATATCATTACTTTCAATACATACATGAAAGGCCCCTTTACAAAACAGACTTTACTATACAGATAATTTACTGAATTGCAGTTTGTTTCAAAACTTCCATTAAAAAATATAATCCCTTAGGAATTTTCATTGAAAACTTTAAGCAAGAAAGAGATTATGATAGCTCGCTTCACATAAACTCAGACAGTAAGTTGTATCAGCAGTGTGTATGTGTATGTGTGTGTGTGTGTATGCAAGTATACAGAAAATATTTTGAAAAGTATGCGAGAAAATGGAATTAAAAGATATGAATAATACGAATTACTTTTTGAAGTACCCTGTACACACACCCACACCCACACCCACACACAGTGTATATGTGTGAATGAGGGCACATGATGTTTGTGTTTAAATCTTTCATTTATCTGAAATATGTCCCAATGTCATTTACTGAAAAGTTATCATTTCCTCTTTCATTTAAAATGCTACCTAAATCGTATCTTAAACTATGCATGTACGTATGCACTCATAAATACACACACAAAATCTTTTCTGTTCACAGATCTGTTTGTCTACTTCTGTACCAGGATCAAAGGGACTTGGAAAGGATACTTTCACTACATTACTATTCTTTTTCAAAAAGTTTCTTGTTTTTATATGTCTCCCCCACTGCCCCCCAATTTAGCATCATTTACTTAGTGTCATTCCAGAAAAAATAAAAGCCACTGATAATTCTGATTGGGAACTCACTGAATTTACAGAGCAATAAGGGAAAGCAAAGATTTTTTTAACTATCTTGAATCTTTCTATCAAAAATTCATTAAGAACTTTTCAGTCCTTTAATAGTTTTAAAGTCCTCACCATTCTCCGCATGGTTTCTACAAGGTCTAATCCTGGATATTTTATTTTTACTGTTGCTATTGTAAATGGAATCTCCTCTTTTATTACACTCTTAACTAGTAAATGTCCCTAAACGGGTACTTCTCAAATTCAACCATGGTAGAGCCTGACTGTACCTAGCACTTAAAGACAGTGTAAAACACAATTAAGACACTATGTAGGAAGAACAATTAGAGAGAATTATGTTATTTGTTTGGCATCAGAGAAGAAAGGACTTTGTAGAGGATTGAAAACCTCATCATTAACAGTGGCATAAGCCTATTAACTGCGGGAAGAGCAGACATTTAGGTAAGTTGCTTTCATTTTAAAATACAGCATTATTCCTAAGAATACATAGAGGATTCTATAATGACTTATTATTCCAAATGGCATGGCAAGACTAAGGTTTTCTACCCTAGTTTCCCAAGCATTTTCATGAAAGCTTTTCAAAATCTCAGAAGAAACTTTCACATGGTATTAAAACTTTTATTTTTTTTTTAAAAACTGTTATTGTCACCACCTGTTTCCCAGAAGCTTCATTTCCTCTAAATCTAGAAACAATCTTTTTCTAAGTGTGCCAATCAGCTTCCAGGCTAGAGCCCATATAGTATTACAAGATAGCCCAAGGCCTGCCCACCCTTTGTGTTTCAAATATTCAACTAATAGGGTAATTACAGGTCTTTGAGCCAACATCATTCCTCAGGGAAGTTTTCCCTCAGCCCCATACTTGTCTGGAGAACTTGTCTGGAGGACTTGTCTGGGTCCCTGTGTGGGAATGCTCTCATAGCACCTGTAAATCATCTTTTATAGCATTTACCACAGCTCACAATCAGATAGTTATTTATATGATAATTTGGTTAAAATCTATCCTGCCACTCAACTCTAAAATCCATGAGAGCAAAGACCATGTCTGGCCTGCCAAGCGTTTTATGTCTAATGTCTAGCACAGTGGCTGGAACAAATATTTACTGAATACATGAGATATTATTATTACGAGGGAAAACTACACAGTTAAAGCAAAGGTAATTAAGGCAAAAAAAAGTTCCACGCGATTCACAATCTTATTTTTTCTCAATACTTGTAGTGCCTTCCCCCAAATAACTGCCCTCTTCTCTGCCAAGGATAATGTCTTCCTCAACGTCATTACTGCTCCCAGATTTAAGGCGTTTTCCTTTGGCTCCTACTCCCCAAGTCATGTCTGGGGAGACTTCACATGAGAGAGGGGAAGCTGGCAGGTTGTAGAACCCCCTTGCCCACTCAGGTCTCATTAGTATGGCCAGTCCCTTTTTCCTATTTTCTGGGGCACTGGAGCTGTGAAACTTCTACTTCACTGTGCCTGGACTGGGTCTTGGTTTCCTGATTTGGGGATAGAGTGGGTAAAGGCTGAAAGTATAGGGGGACTTATGCAAGGCGCCTAGGACAGCACACACCAGCTGCCACGCATCCTCATCTGGTAGTGGCTCCAGATCAGCATGCCTTATCCTTAACCACATGCTCATCAGCCACTGTGACCAAGACATGACTGAAGCAAAATATGTCCTCATGACTGGACTAATCACATCAGAAACATAGTACCTCACAGTAAAAATCAAATACCCTGGGCATCAAAAATATTATCTGATGGCTACTGCTTTATAAAACTGCATTTCTGATTAGGGTTAATATGAATTCCTCATAGGTTCAAACTTTTGTAAGTAGGTTAACAGATTCATAATGAAGTTCGAGGGACAGAATAAACCACATTGACAATATTTACAAAGTATTAGTATCAATCACAACCACATTAAGTACAGAAGTATTTTGGGCCCCTGGAAACTCCTCATAGCAATGAGGAAAATGTCTATACATTACACACACACACACACACACTGCTTGGCAGAGAGAAGGGTGAGACAAGGAACAAGCTAGTTAGGAAAAACAAGACCAAGAATGCTGCTGAACTTCATTGCCTTTGAGCTTTCTTCCATAACAGTAGTTTGTCATTTATTCAACAAGTATCTGTTGAACGTCTACTCTGTCCTGCCACTGTACTAGGCACTCGACAAAACAGACACAGTCTCTGCTCTCACGGATCTTATGGTTGAGAAGGGGAGAGTTATTTGTGTGATTATTTGATGAAAATCTATCTAATGGAAACTTAAATGCATAGTACTAATTGAAATAAGCCAATTTGAAAAGACTATACACTATGTGATTCCAACTCTATGACATTCTGGAAAAGGCAAAGCTGGAGACAGTAGAAAGATCAGTGGTTGCCAGGGGTTGGGAGAGAGGGAGGGAGGGAAAAACAGGCAAGAGCACAGAGAATTTTTCAGGCTGAAAAAATATACTATGTGATACTAATGATGGATACATGTTATTATATATTTGTCCAAACCCACAGGATGTACAAAACCAAGAATAAACCTTAATGTAAACTATGCGCTCTGGGTGATAATGATGTGTCAATGTAAGTTCATCAACTGTAACAAATGTACCACCCTGGAGGGGGATGTTGACAGTGCGGGTGGCTGCACAAGTGTGAGGGCAGGGGGTACATGGGAAATCTCTGTACCTTCCTCTTAATTTTGCTGTGAACATAAAGCTACTCTAAAAAATAAAGTCTTTTTAAAAAATCTAATTACGAGCTGGGATAAATGTTATGAAGGATAATTAACAAGTGCTGTAAGGGTGACAATAGGGAGACCTTGACAAGAACGGGGGTGGAGGAAAACTGCCATTGGTCCCTGAAAGTGGTATTCTCAGAACATAAAAAAGCAAATGTACAATAATTTTAGCACTATTTGCTGACGTTGAAGGGATTGTGGGGAAGGAAAAGGATGGATGGTATGACCAGCATTAATCTCTGGGTACCTGAAAATGCTGCAAATGCTGATACCTTACAACATTCTAGGGAGCAGAAGACACACAGCAGATGTAGGCACATGTACATGTACATATACCATGTGTACTTCTGTCTGACCCAGAAGCTAGCTGGAAATGTGGCCCTGCCATCACTGTTGAACCTACACAGTGGAGTGCTAATGGCATTGAGAGGATTTCTGCTCTTATCTGTGAAATGTGCTATTGTCTCTAAAGTGCTCCAAAAACTGCTGGGCACATTAGGGAGTGCTACATACGTACAGCCTGCGTCATCTTCTCTCCTCTTACAAAAGCAAGGAGAACCTTCTACATAAAGCCATCTTAGGAACTCAAAGGACCGGCAGATACAAGGGCCACAGCCATTGTCAACACAAGAAACCATACCATACTGCTACCATGAGGAATCACAATTTGAAGGCAGCAAGTGATGGCTCTTACCTTTGGATCATCTCCAAACTGGCCAAATTGTACATCATTTAATAAACTACGAGCTGTTTTGATGATATCTTTACATTTTTTTGGTGTTTCTTCTACTTTCCCAGCCAGAAAGAGGCAACAAGCTCCTGTCACCTAAAAGGGAGACAAAAACTCTTATTTTTGGTATTAAAGATCACACAAATGGGCTGGCTGATTAGTTCAGTTGGTTAGAGCATGGTGCTGGTAACACCAAATTCAAGATTTGATGCTTGTACTGGCCAGCAGCCAAAATAAAAAACAAAAAAAAGCTCACACAGAAACAGGTGCAAGGATGTTTGGCCTTCACAGTAAACTGGTCCCTCTCATTCTCCTACCTTCCTCTTTCTTATTCATAAATACTGATACTCTAAAAGCCCCCAAAAATTTTTACACACATACCCTTGCCCTTCAATTTTGCCTAATAAACTTAAAATTTAATTTTCTTAAGAAAATGCCATGTAAACAAAGAAAATATCCCAAAGTTAAAAAGTCACAGAAATGAATTTTCTTTTTATATTTCAGTCAGAAAGATAGTAACTCTGAACAATGAGTTGAGAGTTTGCTATGGAAAAAGAAAGAGCACAGCTGACTGTATGTCCTGTGGAATCCATCTCTACACCACTGCCCACACTTTCTTTCCTTTCTGCTAAGGTTTGAATGTTTGTGTGCTCCCCAAATTCATATGTTGAAACCTGATCTCCACTGTGGTGGTATTAAGAGGTGGGGCCTTTGGGAGGTGATCCCCTCACAAATAAGATTACTGCCCTTATAAAAGAGGCCTGAGGGAGCGTGTTCCTCTCTTCTGTCATGTGAGGATAGAGCAAGAAGGCTTCCTCTATGAGAAACAGGCCCTTACCAGGCACCGAATCTGCTGGCACCTTGATCTTGGACTTCCCAGCCTCCAGAACTGTGCGAAATAAGTTTCTGTTGTTTATACAATTACCTGGTCTAAGGAATTTGTTACAGCAGTTTGAATGGACTCAGACACTGTCCCTCCATTTGCCTTAACCCTAGTTTAGTCCCTGTTATTAATGGGGTCCGCACTGCTCTATCTTCAGCTTCTCTTTGCCACTCTAATCCCTCCTACATGCCATTCTCCTCACATAATCCTGACCACATGACTGTCAGACACTCTGGCAGGGGTACAAATTCTGATTCTGTCATGATCGTCTTTTTTAAGAACTTCACAAACTAGTGAGGAAGACATGCATACAAACCTAAGTAAAATCTTAGCATTTAATCACTTCATTGTTTACCTACCAAAGTTGAGTTTCCCTACTCTGACATTCAAGGTTCACCATGGTCTGACCCATTCTATCTTTCCATCCAGGGTCCTACCATTCCCTTATTGTCAAACGGTGCTCCTGGTGGGGCTGGCAATGTGTGGTGTGCTTCCCTGCCTCTGCTTCTGCTGGACTACTGCCCCAGCCCATCTCAGCATGCCTATGCCCTATGTACATGCAAGCATACTGCTGGCATCTCCTTCCTAGCATTTTCCCTGACTGCTCCAAGATGTCATTAATCTCCCCCTTAAAGGACTCAGCTCTCCATCTGTACCTCTCCTACGGCCTCACTTTTCATCATGAGTTCTGTATATGTCACACCACCTATCCTGAACTAAAAGCTATTGGAGGCAGGTTCCCTGTCTGGATCTCCCACCGAGAATAAGACATAGTGCAGGTTCAAGGAATAGCTGAAAAATGAGTGATATGGCATAGATATTGGCTTCCATTTGGTTTCATTTGGCTTTCCTGATCTTTGTTGGTTCTCAATTATAAGTCCAAATTTATCATGGGGAAAGGTAAAAAGGAAGTAAACTTTTACATACAGAGCAATATGACTATGGTATATATTCACCTAAATAAAAACAGATTTGAACATGGTAATTAAGAAATTAAGAAAAAACAAAGTTCAAACTTGATTGTGTTTATATATAGTATGTAGCATATAGAAATACCTTCTAGAAAATATGATAAAAAGAGAAACTACAATCAGTCCACCAAACTGTATGGAAATAATAAAATGTAATAGAGAGTTACAATAAAAGCCAAATACTTACATATCTTGGGAATTGCTTGAAGGAATGAAACATATAGAAGCGATGAAAATAAATTATTCCAGTTGCCAGGGTATCATAGTGTCTGTTGTTCTGGTTAAGGACTTTAGCCAATAACATTTATAGGTTATGTTCTTAGTTAAATGCATAAAAATAATAAAGAGAAGCAAAAACAAAATAGTGGTAAAGTAGGCAGTATCAGTGGCAAAGAAGGCAGATGAGACCATCTTACGGTGTCAGAATTCTGGTACAAGAATTAGCAAGCTGAAGTTTTATGCTTTTAACAAGGCTCGGCTTTACCATTCTTTAGAAACACTTCAACTGTCATCTCAATTTATTTTCCTGCTGGCTGGCAACTTGCTCAGTGGCTAAGTCTACACATTTAAATAATAAACCAGAAACAGAAAAACCCCTGAAGAGCCAGGCAAATCAGAAACATTTAAACAACAAAGATATTTAAGAACTGTTCTGGCACACAGAAATTCTGTATATTTTGTCTATAATGTTTAATTTAATTCTTGCTGGTGGTGGGACAGCCTATTACAGATTCCAAGGAGAGTTAGGATACAGTCCCAAACGTGTGCCCACATCAAAGATGAACCTAGCCCCCTCTCGGCGGTACCGGGCCTCAGTAGCTGGATCAAGTCCTTCGAGTTGTGAGGGTGTATGAGCCAAGTCTTTCTTATCCCAGTACCAACATGGTTTTGTGTGGTCCAGATTTGCTGAAGTTACTGAAGGGCTTGAATTTTCTTTATTCTCCTTCATTTATTGAAGTAGACTTGTTCTTTCCAAAAGGTTCTCTGAAAATGTTTGAGTCCTACAAGAAAGAGGAAAAAAAGCAAATTTGGAAAGGGATACCCCACACTATAAGCCATCCTAAATAATAAACAATCTACAATCACAGATTGTACCTGATTTGGGATCAAATTTTCCCATAGAAACTATGCTACTGACTGCCAGTTAGAAGCCCAGGCTAACCCCCAGAGCCAATTTAACACATATTGTAAGTGACCCCAGTACAAATAAACCCCAAATTTCATGGTAGTTTAAAAGGAAGAGCATTTCCTCTCCCTCTTTTGGCCGTAAAGGGGGCTGCCTGGTTAGCTCACTTGGTTAGAGTATGGTGCTGATAACACCAAGGTCAAGGGTTCAGATCCCCTTATCGGTCAGCTGCCAAAAACAAAAAAATGGTATTGAGTCTAAAGGGTTAAATCTAGGCAAAATTTTGGAAGAAACTGAGTTCATCTCACTTCCCTTCTTCATCAGAACACAGTTCTCTAATGCTGGTCTAGATTTCATTCTTCGGTAAAGCCTGGGCCTGTCTTAATCCCCTATAAAGATTTATGATCCAAAATTATCTGTCACTTCCATCTAGCACCAAATCAAATGTTCCCTTTTTTAGTTTACTTGATTTCACTTACTTAGGCACTTTCACTTAGAAAAGCCATGGGGTTAGATTAATTCACATCTGCACAAACCACTGAGCTGAACAATATAAATCAGGTATGGGTGCAGTGATCTGGGGGAATAGGTGGAAGGAGGTGGTCCATAAAGGAAGGAGCCCCTTTAAATTGTTCTTCCTTTCTCATCCTCTTCCCTTTCTTTCATTCAGAATAAAGAGATTCTCTAAACACTCCATGTTGAGAGAAGAAAAGAAAACAAGGATCTCATCCACAGGCTATTGTAATTTGTAAGTCATTCAAAAACTGGATCAGAGACAGTAAAAATGTTCAACAGGGTGGCAAAAGAGTTCCAAAGGAGGTGGCTGGAGCCAGGTTAGTCTGGTTAGCAAGAAAATAGCAGTTGTGCAGTCAGGCTCTGGGCCAGGGCCCCTGTCAGTTCATCTGGAAGCCTAACATTTTCTGCGTACCTGCCTCATTTCTGGTGGGAAATGTGAAACGGCAGGGCCGAGTAATTCTCCTCCTCCTTGCACCTGGTAGCTCTAATAGGAATCTGAACTTTAATCCAACAGGAAGAATTAAGTACGTGGAGAAAAGCAATCTGCTTAAACTAATAATTTACATTTTTGTGTGTAACTGATTAAATTAGGTAATGTTGGGGGATAGTGGTGGGGGAAGGAGAGACTAGTTATCTAAAGCCTCAGAAAATATGAGTTCCTAATCAGATATCATACTGAGATACCTATATTTCTCACCTACAGGATTGGCAAAAATCCTAAAGTTTGACAATTTACTCTGTTGGCAAGGCCAGGGAGAAGGAGGTGATTTCATATATTGCTAGTGGGAGTACAAAATAGTACAACTGTCACAAAGGGGAAGTTGGCAATATCTAAAAAATTACACATGCATTTTTCTCTGACCCAGCAATCTCACTGCTAGGAATCTACTCTGAAAATACTGCCAAATATGAAAGAACATATACTCAAGATTATTAACGGCAATGTTATTTATAACGGCAAAAACTGTAAACAACCTAAATGTCCATGAACAGGGTATTGGTTGAGTAAAATATGGTACATGAACCCAACTGGTGCCAATCATCCCGAAAGACACAATCTCAAATGCCATAATCCTGAATGATCAAAACCACTAAAGTCTAAAATCCCTAACGTCTAAAATCCCGAAAATCACAATCCTGAAAGATTAAAATCCCGAATTTTAAATATGAAATATGAATATATTCTGAGGAAAGCCATGCCCTAAAAGAAAAAAAGCAGCTATTCATCATTAGCAAAACCTGTAACGTTAAATTTTAATTGAAAATATCAAAATAAATCATGGTTAAAAATATATACATATATATCCCAGTTCTGTCTATTTCAGGCATCTAGAAACAGTGACACCTCTATAATAAGGGATACACCTAGTGTCCAAATCTTAGTTTTTCCACACCATTACGCTCTAAAAGGAAGCAGGCTTCTTTCCTGTCTGGGGTAGGGGCCTGCGTGGGAGGTACTCAGACTAACTGAAGCTTATCAAAAGACATAGCAGCCAGCATCATGGGCGCCCACTGGACAAATACAGGGTAATTTGAATATTAAAAAGAAAAATGACTGTAATTGTTTGTAAAATAGTGAATAAACAATCCATGAGTCCATACTGTATGTATGTATGTATGTATGTATGTATATATGTATGTGTGTGTATGTGTACACATACATATGCCAATAAATCTACTTTGCTAGCACTGGTAATAACTACTGTGAAAAAAGAACCTTTACCTTAACAAAATGATCAACCCTGGTATCGCTAATAGGGTGAAAGCTAATAGGCCATTATGTGTCTTCTGATATGATATGATATAAAATAAGTATCACCTACCTATGTAGTATTCTTGCCCCCCAAAAGCTTAACCTAAATCCAACCAACCTTTTAGACCTAATTTCCAGTTTATAGTAAACACTGGAGGTAGAAAAACAAGTTAAATAGCACAACAATGAAACTACTATTCACATCCAGAAGGTGGGAAGGTGGGAAACTCTACATGACAACTGACCTGCTCTCTTCAAAAAAGTCAGTATCATGAGAACAGGGGAAAAAAAAAAAAAAAAAAAGGGAGAACTGTCCTAGATTTAAAAAGGCTAAAAAGGCATAATAACCAAATGCAATGTGTGAACACTGATTAGATTCTGTTTAAAAAAAAAAAAAGGCTGTAAAAAATCTTGAACAATTAGGGAAATTTTCAATAAGACTGTATATTAGAGGATATTAGGGAAGTACTGGTAATTTTCTAAGGGGTAACAATGACATTGTGATTATATAGGAGAATGACTTTATTCTTATGAGATGCAGGCTGAAGTATTTTGAGTGAAGTGTCAGGATGTCGGCAACTTACTTTCAAATGGTATAGCTAAAATATAAGCACACAGCAAATGTAGCAAAATGTTAACATGTGTCCAGTCTAGGCCACAGGTAAACAAGGAGTCACTGTACTATTCTTTCACATAATAAAAAGTTGGGAAAGAAATCATATGAGACTGCTTAGGAGACCAGGACTCCTTATATCCTTATGTGCTGTAGATTAAAATCTCTCACTAGCCAAGGAATATTTGCTTATGTGTGGTAGTGATTTTATAAGTTAAAATATCTTTAACTGAATTATAGTATACAAAAAGAGAAATGCACTAATTATAAGTATATGGTTGATTAATTTTCACAGAGTGAACACCAGTCAGTTGAGAAACAGAATCCCAGAAGCTGTGTAATACCAGTCAGTTGAGAAACAGAATCCCAGAAGCTCTCCTTATTCCTCTCCTAGTCACTATCCCCCAAAGATAACCACTATTCTTGCCCTGTATCTCCATCAATTAGTTTTGTCTGTTCTTGAAGGACTATGCAATGAGAAAGCATCACTGTTTTACATTTGGTTCCTTTTGCTCAATACTATGTTTGTGGGATTTATCCCTGCTGTTGTGTAAAGCAGTATTTGATCACTCTCATTACTGCACAGCAGTGGTTTTCAATTGGGGGCAATTTTGGGGGGCTGAACATCCTACAATGTTGCTGAACACCCTACAATGCACAGAACAATCCCCCACAACAAGCAATTATCTGGTCCAGCATGTCAATAGTGCTGAAGTTGAAAAACTCTGCTGTGCAGTATTTTCTTCTATGAATAAAACAATTTATTTTACTGTAGATAGATATTTGAGATGTTTCTGGTTTTTGATTATTAGTAAGTGAAAAAATTCATGTGCTTTCTTGCAGAACAGAAGGCAACTGGCCAGATGGTTCAGGGAATCAATATCTTAGCACTTTATTCAAGGGACACTAGTTAGGAATTGCTACTTTAAGATACATTAACCTAACAGTTTTCCACATCCTTATTCATTCAAATATTTGCTGAGCATTTACTATGAGCCAGGCCTTTATGACACAGCAGAAAACAAGACAGAAAAGGTCTCTGGCCACCAGAAACTTACATTCTAGTGGGAGAGACAAAAAGAAAGAAATATGTTAATACGAGTATTTGTCAGAAAATAAGTGCCATAAAAAAATAATAAAGCATGGTAAGGGGAGAGAGAGTAATGAGGTAGGGGCTGTTTCAGATATGCAGAAAGAAGACTAGTTAGGAGACTAAAGCAGCAGTTCAAGTAATGCCTAATATGTGCTTGTCCCCACACAATGGCAGTAGGAACAAGATAGGGTGTCTTAATTGGCTGTAAGGCAAAGAAAAGAAAAAGATGATTTTAAGTTTAACTGACAGGGAAGGGTGAAACTAAAAAGAAAAAGGAGAACAAGAGCTTGTTTTGATGGGAGAAGGGAAAAGAAGAATTTGGTTCTATAAATAGTAGGTTTGAAGAACTTGTAAGATGTGTGGAAATATCTATCAGATAGATAAACAGGCCTGTTAAAATCTGGAAAGAACATACTTGGTATTCATTTACATAGAGGTGACAACTACAAACTCATGGTGAGGGATTGAGGGGTGGCGAGTGAAAAAAGAAGGGGTCTGGAGACAGACTGACGAACTTGTAGGAAGTGGAAAGAATCACCGAAGGAGAGAAAGGGAAGGAATGGTTAAAGAGGTAGAAAAATTTACATCCTCAATTGCGTAAAAATCCCAGAGATATCAGCTTTAAACCAGAGGTAGTAGCCAACAGTGACAAATGCTAAAGAAAAATTAAGAAGGAGAAGAAACTTCAGAAAAGTTACTCTAATTGGTGATTAGTTATTTACAAGAGACATTACAAATTAATTGTGGTAATGGTTGCACAACTCTGAATATACTAAAAATTATTGACTTGTACACTTTAAATCGGTGATTGGTATGGTATATGAATTATATCTCAATAAAGCAGATATACAAACATAGGTAAATAAAACAACTTTTTTACAAGTGCAGTGGGACAGAAGGAA